AGCAAAACTATGGCATCTGAAGATCTTCTCTGTTTAAAAGTGAAGCTCCTTCAGAGTTTAAGTACCCTCAAGCAGGCAGATATTTTGAGGTCTGGTATACTGATTTGGGGATTGAAATTCCACCTACAGTCTCCTGTAGCTCCCACATCCTGTTGAGGACCTGGAACAAAGTACCAAGACTGAGATGACAGAAGGAAAAACCTTTATAAAGTCTCCAGACTTTGGGACTGCATATTCATCTCTCTGTACAGCTTCTAGCACAACAAATTTAATCATGTCTGGAGTTGTTCTGAAATACAGCATGGTGAACGTTTGCCAGCACAGCTGGGTTTGTGCAGCCTCTAAGAAGTATCATTGGACTTCTTTTTAATTACATATCCATTGATGTATTTAAAAATAAAAAGCATATGTTGTCCCCTTGCTGTTAATTAAAGGTGGTGCAGTTTTAGCCTTCCTTTTCCCAGCACAATTAGCAAGGGTTGCTTAATGAATCTTAGTGGATGGCCGTGATTTAAGAACATTCAATCTCTACTGCATTTCCATGCTGTCACTTTCTGCTCATTACCAGGGTACATACATACAAAACCAAGAGACTCCAGTGGTGAAAACCACTATAATCATTGTTTTGCAGTCAATAAATTACTGAGAGGTGCTAAAATAAACTGAGAATGGTATTCATTACACTGTACTAATGGTTGCATATATAAAGTATCAGCCTTTGGGTATGTCAGTAATAGCCCTAAACTGAACCAACAATGTTAAATACTCAAGGCAAATTAACTAACAGTTATTGCTACTGGAGTAACATTAAGTTAACACAGAAGTAACCTGAAATTTTTTGAGATAATAAAAGCAGATAAAATTTAACAGAAAACCAAGCTTTTATCAAAACAAAACATGGTGCAAGGACAGTGATGATGCTCATGTTCCAAACAGGTACTTAAACCAACACAACCATCTTGTATACGTTGGTATGCAAGATCCAGATACTCATAGTTCTATATTCACACGCATGCTTGCACAAGTAGACCAACTGTGAAATGTCTGTAGACTAGGACTCCAATCTCCCTGAGAACTATGAAACACTGTTTTAAAATATCTTTTGGTGGTGGTGAGAGAAGAAAGGCTATTCTGTTGACAGAGTTACTGTGTAGTGGGTCTGTGGATTCAACATTAAGAAAGGCTGAAAAATAATTGTTCAGGAGTTCAAACAATCTACAAACTCAGACCTTTTGCAGATTCCAGGGGTTTTTTTTATGCATGCAGGTAATTTGCATTTTTCCTTAAACAAACACATATTAGATCATACATTATAACAGTGACTGTATCTGTGCAGTGTTAATACAGCCACCACATAGAGAAGTACCTAGAAATACTGTTAACAACCAGAATGCAAATACTGCCATTAAATACAATGTGGCAACACTTGAAATCAGTGTAGATCTTAAAATATCACACACAAGCTATTCAAGCTTCTTAAAACAACAAAATTGGCAATAAAATAATGTCAAACTATGTCTTGTTGGTAAAAATAGCTCATTTTCCAAATGCAGTTCTCTGTAAATGCAGGAAAACTATAACTGTCTTGTATATACCATAAGCTATTTATCTAAAATGGTACTGTCAGTGAAACAGATGTCATTGCACAATATCCCGGTGCCACCCACATTCTGTTCTCCTAGTTGCCAAACAGAACTGTTTTCAGTTATTTACTGAGCGATCAGATTCAAGTATGTCTGCAATGATCTCCATGCTACACTAAAGGAAAAAAAGTACTTAAAACCTGAAATGTAATTTCACATGATGTTCCACCATGATCTAATATATTCAATATGCCTTCACCAGTACAGACTATGAAGAAAAGACTGAAACCTTAGCAGAAGGTCAAAAAAGTCTTATTTAAGAAATTTGTACATCAGCTTTTTCCATTTTCCTCTTCCTGTCCATTATACTCAATTTCAAGCTTCTGTGTTTACATCTTCATTCAACTGAGGAAGATGTAGAATTAATAGCACAGTTTCCTCCCCAGTCTGAAAAAAATCACCTGTTCTTTGCAGGATAACTACATAGAACCTGAAGATCATACCACAGAATAAGTTACGCTGGAAGGGACTGTTGGAGGTATCTGGTGGTGGGACCACACTACCTACCGTAGGGCCCATTTAGGGCAGCCCACAGGGCTCACAGTCACTTGTCAGGAACCCATCTTGGTCTGCATATGCCATATGCCACCCTACATTGTAGAACTTAGCCATCTGGTTTTTATTCTCTCTTTTCATGCTGTCTTGCTTTTTCACCTTTCCTCCTTTTTTCCATCCTTGTCACAGTGATCTCTGGAGTTCATCAGTATCAGACTGCCATCAGGCTTTCCTTGAGGGTGAGACGGGGCATGAGACTATCCACAGTTCAAACAGCACCTTGCTGATGTACCCCATGAACTCTAAATGAAAAAGCTTGTAGTCTGTTCTCATCAGTGCCACCAAATTGTTGCCAAAATTCAAGCTACCAGATTTGCTCAACCTGTACCCTTTAAGAACCCAGGCTGTATTTGTTTGAAAGCTTGTGAAGGAAAATAGTGAGCAGAATGAAATTCATATTGAGTACTCTGTCTGCATTCACATTTGTACAAGTAACTGACACGCAAAAGAAAATAAGATCAGAAAAAGTAGTTAAGTTTGAATATTCAGTTTCCTAGTTACAAAAAAGTGCTTTAATTCTTAAAAATGTGGAATAGAGAAAGGAATCTAAAAACCATTTAGAAATACATGTGCATTCTAGTAACCCAATGAATACATCTACAGCAAATGACAGCTAAGCAGAAATAATTTTGTATCTAAGACCTTTTTCTCATGGGAAATACTGTCCTTCTTGAGAATGTAAAACTTACTTCAACCTTTCAAGGTGACCGATAATAAAATTACTGAAGTTAACATTAAAATACATTTTAGTATCTCAAGAGGTTTTTCATCTGATCAGATTTTTACTTTTTGATACTTGTTTGCTAATAAGCCACCTAACCCTTCAACTATCCAGCTTTATGATGCCTCATTTAGACCTCTCAACTTTGTTGAGCTGCTTTCAGATTACAACACAAAGTCTTAAAGATAAATACAGCAGGCACGTTTTTTTAGCAGAACACTTGCCAGTTTGGCAACAGTAGAATCAACAACAGATAGGCAGAAAAAAAAAAAGAGGAAAGAAGATTATTTCCTATACACTCCTGAAATAAAGTTCTTTCAAGACACTCTAACCTACTGATTCCAGAGAGCTGCCTAGCAGTTCTTTGCCCTAATGTGGAAACAAAGAGTGAAAAAGTTTCCATTAGAAACAACCGAGACTGCAAATTCTGCATTTGATATACTAATTTGATTATATACAATGTTATTTTGCATTGACATAGCACGCTCTTGATGACTGGAGGCAATCTGGGTTAACAGCTAACACTATACAAATGAAGAATTCTTTGCCACCAAAAGCTAAGACTATCACTTCTGCAATACTTACAATCCCCACTGGCTAGGAAATAAACACCCATGTGCATTGTGTTCGGTACGAGGCACCAGATCTCAGACTACAAAAACATGTTATTCTTTGCTTTAGGCAATAACTTTCAAGCTGAAAATCCTAGGAATTTCTGTCAGGCTTCAGATGACATATCATAGTTTTTCTTTTTTCTTTTTTTTTTTTTTAATTTGAAAAGCAACAAAATTATCTAATAATGGTAAATAAATGAACACATAACTTCAGTGAGATTCTTTCCAAAGAACATAATCAGTGACATCTTTGCTATCAGAAAATCAGCTCATTCATCCTGCTAAATGCTGTTCAGCTGAATAGTAAAATAATTCATAATGAGTTATAATTTCAAAGTGTTAGATAAATATTCAAAACTCTGTCTTCACAGCATGGCTTATAGAAGAAATACATAATCTGATACCTTCAGAATCTAATTTTTCCCAGCAAGCAGAAAATACATACTAGCTACACTGCAACAAAAATAGAGCATCATTTTCATCCCCCTCTACCTCTCAATGATTTATGAATATATTATTTTACCATATTAATTAACTTCAAGTTAATGAATGAAAAATATCTTCATGAAACATATGATTCAATGCTTGTATTTTCAGGAAAAGTAGCCAGTTTTCTGATTTTTTCATCCCTATCCGAATTCTGGGCACCTATAATATGAATAAACTCTCAGAAAAAGTAATTAATATATCAAACAATAACTGAGTGCTCCTAAAGCATAAATATAAAACATAAATATAAAACATTTATTATGTCCAATATGGCTCAGAAATGATTCTTCTATCACATTGAAAATACTTGAGCGCTTACCACGGTATATAGCTACTCTACCCCACCCTATAGCCTGGACAACCCAACTCAAGGCAGCTGCTTTTCGTATTGACTATTGTTTAAGACCAGTTATAGACTCACACAGAATCACAGAATCGTTTAGGTTGGAAAAGACCTTTAAGATCATGCCATCCAACCATTAACCTAACATTACCAGGTCCACCACTAAACCAATTAAGGGTAGAATAGCAATCTCCTTCAAATCCAGTTTACGGACAGATGAATGCACATTAAACGGTTGCTTCATATACCATAGCCTCTTTCTATCATTACACACATTTACCACAAACTGTCGAAGTACTTAAAACGCACTGTGAAATACTACATTCTTTAGAAACCAACTAATGTAGTTAAAGAAGCCCTTCATTCACTAGGGCAAATATTTTGTTGGTGTTGACCCTTCTTTTCATTTATTTATAAAATCACAATTATGCATTTTGAGAAAGATGAAGATATGCATGCTGATTTTGAAAAAAGGAATGGAACAAAAAGGAACATATAAAATTACAAGTAAGTGTATAGATGTTAAACTTGGTTAGAAAATTTAAAAAAAAAAGATAATTTTATGGTGTTATTTTTGGTAGACTTTTTTGTGGCTTGTCCTAAAACTTGAAGCACCAGTCTGTACTGCTAAAATATCAATCTCTTTCTTCAAAGTTAGGCATATAGGCAGAATAATCAGTTTTCTGTTGAGTCACAGGCAGGCAGCCCCTCTCTGTAGTTACATGTGCTCCGTCTCTATCCTCCTGTTTATATGCCTGTACACTTATATCATTGGATTGTGTCTCTTCTGAACGACTCATACAGGGCTGTTAAAGATACAAAACAGTGAACAGTTCCCTGATACTCTCAATAATTACTGGATAATAAAACCTTATCTGATGAATAACCCTACTGTCATATAAAACCAGACATTTCAATTTCAGTATTGAACATCCAATTAACATACTGTTACATACATAAGTATTTATGGGTTCAGCTTTGTAAGTCCCTTAAATACAGCCTGCTTTAAAAAGACAGCTGCTTAAAAGATAGTAATTGCTGAAGACCCACGGAGCCTTCTGTGCATAAATTCCCTTCTCTACTTGTGGCCAGGTATCAGGCCAAAAATTAGTTTGCTTAGTTGCAAATACTGTGAACGGGAAACCATCCTACTTAAACAGAGGACCTCTGCCTTTTACCGTTGTGGTCACTGTTTTTCCAGAGATACTTTTCACGTAATTGCCACTGCAACTGGAAATTAATACTGTATATCAGCATCTGTAGATGAAAAACATGTATAAAAATACCTTTGTATACTGTTCCGAGTGATTTGCTTTTTTGAGGAAGAACGTGCATTAAAAGTTTTTAAAAAGCCAAATTTTGTCACAAGATCCATCCCAGATGCTGTTACTGCTTAATCCAAAAGCCTAGGGAAAAAATAGCAGCTATATCTCAGACCTCATGTGCCAAAATGCTGAGTAAAGTTTTCTGTCTTTTTACTGGCACTTTTTCTTGCTTTCTGTGTGATTAGGATCATTCTGGAGTTAAAAGCTATTGATTTACTAGAAGGCTACCTCATGGTTTATATTTTCAATCCTATTGGACTGATTAAACAAAAAGACCTTTTAGCAAAACATGGAACTTTTCTATACTGCTTACTGTACTATATTAGAATCTTTACAATATAGCACTTACTCAGCACTTACAAGGTCATTATTACATATACGCTAATTAAAAATTGACCAACCTTTCCTTCAGCGTCTGCTGTTGTTACCTTCTCAACCTTGTTCCTGTTTAAAAATTTCTTCACCCATTCTTCTACTTGAACATTGAACTTCATGAAAGTCACATAGCAAAAATACGCTGTCAGGAGTGTTAAGCTTTCCCACCACATGATCAAGTTATCCAGAAAAAAGATGATTAGCAAGATCAAGTCAATGATGTAAAAGGACACATCTCGAAAGAGTGGCCACCAAGTAAGGTTCAAGATCTCTGTAGAAAATAAAGCACACATTCCAATAACAAACAGGATATTGAACACGGCAGATCCCACTATTGTACCAATGCCGACATTGCTGTGGGATATGAACACTCCTATTAAAGAAGTGAAGAGTTCTGGGGCTGACCCACCAGCAGCCATGAAGGTTGCCCCTGCCACATCATCAGATATGGCCAGTTTTTCAGTGATGACAGTCAAGGAAGGAACAAAGAACTCATCGCAGACTATGGCTAAGGCTATAAACATGTAAATCATTCCAGTTACATGGAGGATCACCGCTCCCTTTCTTCTCTCCTCAAGAGAGAAAAGGTCCTTGGGGTACTCTCCCTTGGCATGATCATCTGTTGCATTGTCGTGCTCAGCTTCATATTTCATAGAAGTGTGTGGGTCTGGAGTGCCATTTTCATTCTGCTCCGTGAAATCCAACAGAGTTCTTTGGTGCCCATGCACCAGCTTTTGGCTATCTAGGCTGCTGGCCAACACCATGCTATGTGGTTCCATCTTGAAAAAGGCACTAATTGAAAGAGAGAAAGTACTAATGGCCACTACACTGACAAGAAGCCCTATAATTCGTATCAGTCTCAATTTTTTCCTAACATTCTGGTGCCATTTGCAACCGAACAGAGGTTCCTCTAAACACCACTCCTCCAAGACACCAGCAACAGTTTTTTTCTGAAGAGCCATTTTGTGTTCTGTGAGAGATGCTGAGGGAGTCAGATGGATTGTTCCTTCATACTTTTCTTCCACTTTGAAGTTAGAAGTGCTTTAAGAGTTTTCCCAGAATTGAGTACTTTTTACTCTTCATAGGAAGTATTTTCTTCATTAGTCTTAAAAGGACAAACAGGTATTATTAATATTAGTGAAACAGCATGTGATTAGAAGCTTCTAAAAAGCATTTTACAGGCTGGGCTAAATTTAGAATTTAAAGCAGAATATTACCAACTGTAACATAAAACCCTGTCACATCCCATCAGACACAGCAATGATATGTTTGGTTCAGCCGTAACCCTGCGGATAACAGTCTATCAATACTCAGATCATTTCATGCCTCTCATATGCCTCTGAGCCACTGCTCTCCCCAGCTGCTGACAAAAAATCCTAGTGGAAGGTAAAAACTGTCCCCAAATGTTGTGTAAAAATGAAGAAACTACTATTTCAATGGACACACCAAAGATTATTACCTTCTGTAATTACCTTCCACCATGATCATGTAACATCCAAATCCCAAATGCAGGGGCAATAACATATGAAAAAGCAATCAAAGTGCTAACAAGCATCTCATCAGACCTTTAGGCAGCTGAGGCAGTACTAACTGAGATGTTATGCATGCATAAAGTGACAGTCATTAATGTAGGTAAAACACTATCTTGTTGGAACAGGATCTAAATGAAGAACTAACATATCCACAGTTTCTTTAATTCCTCTGCAAAATTGACTCAAGTTTACACAGAGAACTCAGCTTGCCTCTGATCAGACCTAGGACACTACCTTGGACTAGCTAAGACAAAATTTTCATTCAACTCTGGTTTTGTTTTGGTTTATGTCATGCATTCAGCGATAAACGTAGGAAGTTACTAAGAATACCTATGTGGTAAGTATCTTTTAAAAGTGCTCCTCTTACAGATCCTTAAGAAAATACTTTAAATTTACACAAGAGTTGATCCTGAAACAAATGAAATGGTGAGAAATTAAACTATGTGAGAAGGACTATTCATGTATGCCAGAGCTGAGCATATTAGACCTACAGCACTTTTAAAACAGGAAAAAACCTCTAAATAATAACAGGTGCTTTGGGTACTGAATTTGAAGACTATATGTAACGCAGAAATCAGTTACATATGCATTAGGCATAGTAAGTGGCATTTTATATGGCACAAAATATAAATACTTTCTAAATAAAATTGATTATTAGTCCTTACTATTACAGTCAAAAAATACTTGGTTACACCACTTACTCAAGTAATTTGTAGTAATAGCTGAATACTGAACAATCTATTAATCAGCAGAACATTGATTTTGCATTGTCAAATAGAGAATTACAACCATTACATGCAGTTATTTACATAAAAGTTATTAGGTCACGTGCAGTTTCTCCTGATTTTTACGAACAGCTTCCATTCTAAGAAGATGTCATAGAGACATACTGCATCTGCAAGATACAGCACCACAGCGGAGATATTTCATTTTCCACCCTAGAGTTACTGCTCACCGAACTGCCATAAAAACATTAAGCTGGAAAGATATCGGAACGGCACCGCC